GGTAGAAGGAAGCCAAACTGAATTCAGTACTTTACTATCTAGAGATAGAGAAGATTTTAGGAATAACTCCTTATTTGTATGAGGCTTTTTCTTGAGAGGCATTTCACTCTTGTAGCGTTTTTTACAAATCCTTTCAGTTTAGAACTTCAAAGGAATATTAGTCCTGGTTTAGAAATAGTTGTCCTTCAGAATAACTATCGCACGCACCTGAGGGGTTTTGAAATCTAGCTTTTCAATCCAGATTTTAATATCTTTCTCACATATGCTCAGAGGAAACTGTTTAACGCCATTCTTCCAGTGCAGTGTCCCATTTGGGAAAGGCACTGCGAGGTAAGACCAGCAAGTGCTGGCAGGGAACACTCCCCTTCCTCTCATGTTATGCAGCTCCTTGCCATCAGGTGTGGCAGCACTGCTGTGGGTATACGGGACTCATCTCTAACCCCCGGGAACTTACTGGTTCCCACAGACATCCCAGTGTTTCAACCAGCCCTGCAGAGAGGTCTGGGGAGTCTGAATGAGGAGTGTGTGCCGAGACATCCATCTGCTGCTCAATACTGCCCACGAGCCCCTGTACTGCACTGGGCAGTGTGGCTCAGCCCTGCAAGGGTGGTTTTCTAAGGATCTTTTCTTACTTTCCTGAAGGATTCAGAAACATTTATTAATTTTCATTTGCTTTTTCAATGCAAACTGGATTAATGCCTAACAAAGTTGCTTATATTTTCAGTTTCATTTATTATATATAATCTGTGCACAGAAACAGGCATGACATGAGGCAAATATGATTTACATTCTTCCTAGTTGATTATTATTTCCTATAGGATTTCTATTGTGATACTACCAGGATTTCTGTAGTTCTGCAGATGATTCACACACCACACTACACAACACACTTGTGGTATCAGCATGCACCACAGATTTGTAACATAGCCATAGCAGAACTGGAAAATAACAAGGTCCTAACTGATTACTCACTGTTGTAGTCTAGATGTAGGCAGCTCAGACTTGAATTCTTACCTGTTCAAGTGGCAAGACTTTTCTCCACCTTCCAGACATTTACTGCAAGACTGACTGTGACATTCAGAAGCTCTCACAACAACCTGCATTTCTAATTCTTACTTATCATTTCTTCTCCTACAATGTCAGACACTGCACCTATACCACTATACTGGAAATCAGGTTTGGGAGATACCAAGAAAAAACTTATTTTTCATCTAAAGTCTCAATGAACAATAATTTAAAACCTATTTTTTATAGCAAGTCACTCAAGTATCACATCCTATGAATATGGGGAGGCAGCTGGATGTGGCTTTTGAATCTTAACTTCAAGACTGCAAAACTATAGTTCATGGATCTCTGTGTGAGCCCTGCCTGGGCAGACTTCATAGTAGAAGTCTCATTATATTCAGAAACAACTGGAATTCTTACTTTTGCTTGCTCAGAAACTAGCTTAGCAAATGAGTCTGCATATCTGCTGAATCCGAGGTCAACAACAGTCAACATTTGATATATGCCATCTTGAAATGAAGTAATAAACACAGGCAAGTGTTCAGGTCTTGTATAAAACACCAGCCCTGTTAAAATAAATGTCAAACTGCACATACATGTTGTGTCTCCTTTTTCCTGCAGAGGAGCTGAAGAGATGTTAGTAACATCCCAAATTAAAATGAGGAATAACTGACTTTGCATGACAGTCTCTGTATCCAGGCAAAACAGAAGCAATTCATGTATGGGGGAGAGGTTTAAATGGATTATTTTACACTATTACAGTAAAATAATCTTTTCTGGAAAGAACAGACATCTGGAAGTCGTGTGCTACAAGCAGCTTCTCTGTTCTGCATTTGGTCTAATTTACACTATTTCATCAGATTTATTATAAAAAACTTAATATTCTGCAAACATTTGAAATCTTTCCAGCAAGAAAAGTCATGCAAACTTCTTGGAAAATCTGCTTGCGTAACAGATCCCATTTGCAAATATAGAGGAAAAGAAAAATATATTCTTTCAGATCTCTGCAGAGTATCTGTCATTTATTTATATACAATAAAAAATCATTACTAGTATCACTGTCAACAGATAAAGCATAAGGTACCCAAACTACAAACCTATACCTAAAATTGCTACACAAAAAGAATGAAATGCAGATGTTTTCCTACCCACGTCAGACACATCCAGGATTTTGATCTTTCATAGTAATTTAAGATGTACCTGTAGTTTTCTTGTTGTCGCTAAGCTCTGGAGCAGGTGGTGGTTGTTGTGAAACTAGGATTAATCAAGGATTAACACAGAAATATATGTTGTTCTAAACTATTCTTATGCCTATGTGGCAGAAGCTGTTAGTCCATAGGAAGGCTGCCTGGTGATTTAGATCTGTGTTCTTACCCACAGAGCAACAGTTGGTCCCACGCTTTATGTTTCAGATGAACAATTTAATAATATCTTAACATTGCTTTTACAATCTTAAAACGTGCATATTTCATTCCTCATGAAGCCAAAATCTTTTTAAACTGAAGTAGTTCTACTGGAAATTCAAATTTATAAGTTTCAAAACTGTTTTAACACATTGAAATAGTAACTACCAAAACCAAAACAGTCTAAAAAGACAATTCTAATAACATTTAAAATGAACAGAAGAGCAAGATGATGTCAGGTAAAAGCACATGCAGTTTAACAGCTTCAGGATTTCTTTCACTAAGTAATATCCTTTTGTGAATTATGTATTAAGAGAAAGAAAATAAATTTAAAAGAACAAAACTGAATTTCTTTAAAACCAGTATTTCTAATGTAAGAGTTCTGTATTTCTTTTTGAAACAGCTTTCTATGTAGTTATACCAATCTCAACATTTAAAAATGGGCTTATTTGTCTCCCGACTTCGTGTAGTGTAGTGGATGAAATGCAAAACCTGCTCTGCAGCTGGATGGAGTTACGTATCTAGAACATTTAAGTGTATAAAGGAAACGAATGTAGTATTAAACATACTGAGTAGGACAGGAAAATGCAACAATGTACTAACTCTGAGAGAATACTACTACTGTGGCTGCACTCATCAGACCATGCTAAGGCACTGGTCAGTTTGTTGTCAGTTTAAGTAAAGAGCTTCTCAGCTTCTTTCATTTTCCTTTTCCTGTCCAGTTTGGAAACTGCAGTCCATCCTGCCTCACGCATCTTCCTCATAGTTGACAATTTCAGCACAGAGCCTGGGGTCTTCACATTTAATGTAGCTGCTTTCTAAGAAGAGAAACCAAGTCATTCAGTTGTTCCTATAACCCATTTGATTCACTGGTTTGATGTGAAAACAGAAGCTAAGGTACCTTTTTTGGTGTCATGGTATACAAGTGTGAAGCCTGAGGATAATCCCTGTACAGGTTTTTAAACATTTCTTCCTCTGAGACTAGGCTCTAAGAAAAAAAAAAGGGTTACTTAATCCAACTATGTGCAAAACAATCTTCTCTTTGCTCCTGGTGGGGTATTAGAGTATTAAAAAAGCCAGTTGGGATGTTACTATGAAGCCTCACAGTTCAATAAAAACAATGTAAAATGTCATTATATGAGTGAGTAGATTTTTTTATACAGTACTGTCTGTCAAAGAGTTACTCATTCTGTAGATATAAATGCAATTCCAGAGAGAATCATTGAAATACAGATATACACACACAATTGTCTTGGATACAGAACCCCACATGCTTTCTACACATTCTTATATATAGCAGTGTGCATGAGGAACTGTAAGTGTGCTCTTTGCTCTCTGATTTTACCAGGAGGTCACTTTGCTCGGAGCTGTCTGACTGCGTGTCCAGCTGGAGCAGCACTTTCTGCTTCTTCCTCATGCTCTGCTCTGAGAGCACATTTGTGCTTTCACTCTGCAGTTTCTGTAGTGGAGGAGTCTTTATCATGTAACCCTGGGAAAGAAAATATTTATAATTGTTCATTCTATTTTCAGTGGCAATTATAGAACGTAAAACCCAAACTCATACCCCAGTTTACAGACTGATGGCAGGAAGATTAGAGAGGTGCTGTGGAACAATTCATTATCCTTCCATCCAGAATGTGGAGCAAAGACCCAGACAAAGGGAAAACAAACAATAGTCCCTTCTCTGTTGCCAAACAAGGAGAATGAACACGAAGCTGTGGGAGAACTGAGTTTTATGGCTGATTATATTTAACTTCTCCAAGTTTATCTACAGAAACTCAGAGTATTCCAAATTGTAGCTCCTACATGCAGCCTATAACCAACAGTCAAGGAAACGCCATCAGACAAACTGCAGTAACAAGCTTTCAGAAAGACACTGCTATTGACATCAAGAACCAGATTGGTTTTACTTAAATAGTTCTTTTTCTAGAAGATAAACTCCTCAGAGACATTGCAATGGAACAGTGCCATCCTTTTTTGAAAGGATAACAGAAAAATGGTAGCTGCATCTTAACAATAGAAACAAACATGACGTATGAGCTGCTGACAGGCTTTACAGTTCTGCTGAAGCAGCCAGGAATATTCTGACAGTTTTTACAGCTACACAAGCTATTTTGTGTTCCATAGAGAAAAATGTGCCTTTTAAAAGAGACACCACTTTTCTTTTAAGTAAAAGAATCCTAGAGACATTATTAAATTCACAGTCCCTCTAAGACAGGAATTGTTACTGTTAACAGACAAGTTAAGGAACAAGGAGAATTACACACAGTGGGAGCCTTTATACAAGCTGGTATCTCTATGAATACATTTTGGGGTTTTGTGGCTATCTACCTCTTAAATCCCTGCTTATCCCAACAAAAAATAAATAAGCAGCTACACAGAAATAAGAAATACAGTCAAAAAAGTAAACCAAGACCAATTCACTGTTATGAGTTACAGACCTTGAATGATGGACTACCCAGGGGACTCTTTGCAGATACTGAAGGAGGCATTTTAGTCTTTTCCATCATGTTGACTTTTGTAGGAATATCATTTGGAGACTTTTTATTCTTCATATTAATAGATTCATAGTCCAGATCAAATTGAGGTTTAGGAGTCTCAGCAAAATGAGTCTGTATTTTCTAATATGAAAAAGGTTTAAATTAAAAGCATTTCAGTGTCTTTTGTTGAATGTAGGTTATTTAACATGAACTTCAGTTAGATTGCACATGTATAAATATTACCAAACTCTAAAATTAATTAATGATAAGGTTAAAGATACCTTGTGCTTCTTCTCATTTTCAGGAGCCATATTTTGGAGGGCTTTTTTTGCAAGATTCTCCTAAAAAGAGTTGTGATAGGAAGTAAATATTGTATTTGAATTCAGCTGTTGAAATCTTTCTTTGCTATTTCTTCCCTGCTTCCCTCATAACTTACCAACTGAAGAGTAATGTAAAACACTCACTACCACCAGGAGTGAGACCTAATGACTGCAGAGAGCATCGAGCTCTTGAAATCAGACAGCGAGTGAGAGCAAGACTTAGAATCAAAGGTGCACTTCACAGCTCTCATTATTACAGTGCCCAAGACCAGGCCAAGCATGTCACCCAAACTGCTAAATCTGATTTGAACCGAACCAAACCAAACCTTCTCTTCAATTTCTGCTTTAAGCTGTTCCTTAAGGGATGACAGTTCACTTTTCAAACACGAGAGCTCATTCTCCTAGAAAAAATCAGACAGGATAGGATTAACTATGGTTAACCTGGAAAAAAGATCATGGTCTAAAATGAGACAGTAATTAATAGCAGTATTCCTTCTAAACAAAAGAAAATTCCATTTGTTCAAGAGAGCTACTTGTTCATAAGGTTGTGCTGAGGGGTGGCTACAATGATGTTTCAGAATGATTCAATCACTAGAATAGGAGATGATCAAAGAAGCAGCTGGGGGAGGATGATGCAACTCTAGCCTGGAAGTTTTGTTTCAGTTAGTTTGTTTTTGAAAGAGCTGAAGTAAGAAACTAAGGTACTAAGAAACAGGTACTTGACCAGATCTGTTCAAGGTAAGAACTTCAAACACTTGTGAGAATAAGGCAGGGAGGTAGAATCAAACTATTTAATACAAACATTTCTTATTCAGTGAGGTTAAAACATGTCACATTATCAGGAAAAGCAGACAGTAAAGCAGAGCTACTCAGATGTATTTTTAAAAACAGCTGGGACTTTTTAATGCACAGAATAAAATCTGTAAATAACAGCAAAGACAAATTATGGGGTTGATCTTTACTGTTCTCTCCCACTAAAGCAGACACTTAATCCCCCCAAGTGTTAAATAGGAAGAAGTCTAATATGATATTTATAATTATATTAGATTTTCAGGACAGTAGCCCCTCCGTTGAATTAGTCAGTGCTGAAGAGTTTACCTTACCAATGCTCTCTTTGATGAGAACTGCTCTTGATCTTTTACTTTATAAAGTTTTAACTCAGTATCTTTTTCTTCAACCATTTTATCATATTCATGCTACGTTAAGAAATAGACAACAAATTAATGACGTGACTAAACATTAGCATTACAGATCTACCATGTCTTAAAACATTACACCTTTTTTCAAATAAGGCTCTTCTGAACATTCAAAAATTGCCATGAACAAACATTGATGCTTTAGCAGAAACTGTGAACCAGAAAACGCAGAAGCAGTATTATTCTGTGGGCTGACAGAGAATGCTTTATCTCTAGGCAGGGGCATGTGCTCCAGCACATAAAAGCCATATTATTTGTGTTAATGGTACCTGCTAAATATATGCAAACCAGAGTCATTAGGAATGTAAATTAACATCTGTTAAACTGCTGAAGGTGCCAAAGTGATCTCCTCAAAGAGAGGCCCCAAACTGATACTGAACCACATGGCATTAGGATGGTACCAAAGGGAGCCTGAATATCAAAACAAAAACATCCTAAAAACTTAGATAACTGGAATGTATCTGCCAATAAAGCAAGTTTTCACAATATGTATTTATTTTTAATGAGATGTCAGCATATGTTCAACTTTATTTTCCTGGACTCAGGTCTTTATTAAGAAGTTTCTCTAATTAGTAATATTCTGGTTTTTACAGGTTTTTACTTGGCACAGTATCACACATTACACATCACAGAAATCTCTTACTTTGTGCTTTTCCATAAGTGCCACCATTTCAGTTATCTTGTGCTGACATCGGATATCAGTTTCTCTCTGAACTGCTGCTGCTTCATGAACAAGCAACTTCATTCTTTCCACCTGTTAGTAACAGCTTTCATTTAATTCATGAACAATTATCAACAACATACATACCTTTTCCTAAAAGAATCTCAGTTTCATTATTTTTTACCCCTGTGGGTGCAGTGTATCTACAATGTAAATTGCATTTACTGTAGTCTTCATCTGCTTTTAAGATGACTTTTATACAGGTTGTTAAAGTAGGCAAATAAACCTAGATTAAAAGTACAGCCGTTCCCCCATGGCAGACAAGCGTCATTTCAGACCACACGGCCGTTTCAAGCCCCCTGCCCTCATGTACTTAGATATTACCATCCAAAAAGTGAGGGCAGAAAAATACTGGGAAAAGTTATAATCTAATTTGCTTATGCAGTATTTATACCAAGAACAGAGTGTCTGTGAACAGTACATTGACAAAAAGGTTTTTTAACTGGCTTTTTATTCTTCAAGACATACACAAACGCTTCAGCTTACAGATCTAAGGCACTAAAGCTTTGCTCACGTGCATACACAAGAAGTTCCATTTATGTTGGTAAGACTGCTACATAAGAGCAAGGACTCTGGCTGATACAGCTCCATAAACCCAACATATATTACAAAAACAAAAGTTGCAGTAAAAATTAATAGCTCTCACCTCTTCAAGAAGTTTACTTTCATTTACTTTTTTTGTTTCAACTTCCTTCTCAAAGATGTCAATTTTTTCCTTATGTTGCTTGTTCATATTTTCCATCTCTAACTCTAATTTATTCACCTTTTGAGAATGCAGAATTATTGCTGTTATTTGTTCAGGAACAAATAGGCTCAAGTAGAACCACTCTTACTTTTCATGTATGTGATTGAACTGTTCCCCATTTAATGTTCAGGTTTTTTTCATAGAGTTGAACCTTGGCCTGAAGCGAGTTAGAAAATGCTCATAGAAACAATGGCAACACAACAATGGGAAAGTCAGACCACTCCAGTTTTGTGCACCCCAGGCAATAACACAGTCCAAAAGCTCAAGGTTTTTCTTTTCTATTTCAGTGGGTGGCATTAGCGAACAAAGTTCTAGTGCACTATCAACCAAAAAAAGAAAGGGACTGCTTAGGAACATAATTCCATGAGATGTGATGCCCATCTATTACAAATGTTTCATAGCCTGGGCAGTGTCCAATGATTAAAACTGGAAGCATCTTCAAAAAACTATGGGCTCATTCCTGTAAAAATCTGTATCCCAGATCCCTAAACCAGTTAAGAACATGCTTACCATGTATTATCATTAACTACACTGGGACTTCAAACATTCACTCTTTGTGCTTTACCCTCCTCTTGCACATAGTTATTTAAACCCACCTTCCCTTCATAAATACTTGTCTTCTTGCTTTCTGCAGTGATTTTCTTTTTCAGCACCTTATTCTGTTAAAATGAAGTAAAACAAACACTACACTTTAATAAGTTCATAGAACTATGTAATGATTTCACTGCATCAAGTAGGTTGGAATCTTCATTCCATCTTTCAGCAAGCAGATAACTCCCTTTTTGTTGCGCAGTTCAAGTTCCAGATCAACTTTCTAAACAAAAGAGTGCTCACTACTGACTTGAATAATACTGTTACTTGATGACCTTATGAAAGCCTCCTCATGGGCAACAGCAGAGAATAACACATGAGGGTGGTGAATGGGAAGAAAAGCCAAGACGATGCTGACAAAAAATGTGCACGTCATGACAAAAAAGATACAAGCTATATATTTTTACAGTACAGTTATTAACAACTTGTCCTAATGCACAATTCCTTTCTACTATTGGTAACTGAGATAGGCCATTACCTCAAGGATATCTGCGAGACCATGTGCTGTATTACAATACTAGAAGTTTATTAAAGTTATTATTTCTTTTTTTGCATTTTTCAGAAGTAAGGATAATTTGAAAAATCAAGTAATTCCAAAGGTGACCCCTTAATTTACTCAGTTAGGATAAGAGATGTTATAAATCACACGGATATATCTAAATATATCACAGTACACAAAAACTGTTGAAAAGTTACCACAAAACACCATGGTTTATGTATATGTGAATTTTAACAACTGTACGTACCTCCTGTTGCAACTCTTCAATGCATTTGTTCTTATTTTCCACTTGTTTCTTTAAAGTATTCAACTAAAAGAGATATTTTAAGCAGTAGTTAAGAAACTCCTAAAAAATTGCGCCCTGTGTCAGAGATTATTGTCGATGTTTCTTAAACATGCATTTGCACAGTCTGACCAATTCCAGTGGGACTGAAACACACGTGTGACAATGATTAGAGTTTTAACCATAAAGTGCTGCAAGGATTTTGCTAGCCCAGTATCACCAACATTAGCAGCAGTGCACCATTTCCTCAGTGGTTGTAGAGTTTAGAAAGAGGAGGAAAAAGGAAGAAGTTCACAATGTAACAATAATCTCGTATGAAGTTCTCCACATTCCATGAAAAACTAAACTTTCATACCTTATTTTCTAAAATTTTCAGTTGCTTTTCCTTTCTTGAAATTTCATTTTCAATGTTCTTTGCCTGGAATTGGAATTATAAACCTCTGATTTTTACAATAAGATTGTGAAATCCGTTATGATGTTAAAAAAAGAGATGCACTTATGTTTTTTCATGATAAAGCACAGGATATGGCATACATTTTCTTCTCTTTCATCCAGTTTACTTTTAATTTCTTCACCTTTCTTTGCCATCTTCTCCTTCAAAGATGCCAGTTCATTTCTAAATGCCAAATTAAAAAGCATTAGTAAATACCTATTTAATAACTTTAACTTCTTTTCACTACTGCTACTTATGAAGAGCTGCTAATATTGCTGATAAACTTCATAAATTGTTCAATGAAAACGTTCTTAAGAAAGATACAAAGTGACTGGGAAGCCAATCTCTGAACTGGACATATTTTTGTAAATATGGAAAGATGTTCCCCTTGAGTAAAACTGCATTTCAATCTGTAATATCACAATGCACCTAAGAAACATGAAGGCTGCCTGTCTAACTGTTGGTGGTACAGAGACTACTTCAGAGAGTACCATCAAACCAGTTTCACTTTCTCACACCCACTCCGTAACCTTTCATGCCTATTTTTATTTACTCCACCGCTAAATTACCGCAGAACAGGTCAGCTCTCTGTATGTAATATACAGCTAGGGCAAAAATGGTTCTGTAACAAGAGGTATTGCTAATCTGTAGAAACTTCTACATGGCCAACACTAATTTCTGTTTAGCTACAAAACCTAAAAAAAATTAAGCTAAAAATCAGAGAAAGCAGTATATGAACACAACATTGAAACTAACTGTGAAGGAATGGAGTCTACTTCCTTTAATGACATGTACATTGATATTTGGCTTTACTTGCCTCAGCTGGCCATTTGCTTCTTCCAGGTTTTCAACTAACTGCTTTGTATTTTCTTCTTTTTTCCTACTATCCTAAAGAAACACCCATGTAAGTAAGATGGATAAAATTCAAAGAGCCATCTGAAAAAATTCAAAGACATCTTAAGCAGCATCTTGACCTCCCTTATTCACAAGGGCAACTGCATCTCCTTTATATTTTAAACACAAAAAAGAGTTCAGATCCTCTACATAACCATGTCATATTGTAGTTTCCCATACAATTTGTATTTGAAATTGAACGTTGTCCTTTAAAAACAGCTGGAAGTTTGCAACTTGCCTCATGACTCTCTTGTAGTTTCTCCAGTTCTGTAGCCACAGCACTTTTCTCCTGTGCTATCTGCTCTTTTTCTAATGAAAGCTCATTGATATATGCTGTTAGTTGTTCATTCTTTAGCCTAATTTAAAACAAATGGTCAGTGGATTAAGAACATGTATTTAATGATTTCCTTTTAAGTTAAATTTATCCGTCACAAAAATGTTACCTCACACCAAAAGAAGTCCAGCCCTGTATTGACAGATTTATAAATGTAAGTACAAAACAGATGTTATACTATGCGCACAGGTTCAACTTTCATTAGAAAGCAATCATAGATCATTTCATTGTGTATCAAAGTAACTTCTTTGTAACACACACACAAAAGAACCTTAATACTATTTAAAAAAGCCCGTATCATACGCCTCTTGTTCAAGATCTGTGTTCAGTGCCTTAAGCTGGTCTAAATAATTTTGTTCCTTTTCAGCTGTACTGGTCAGTTGGACTTTCAAATCTTGGATTTCTTTCTGCAGAAGAAAAAGGAAGTGTTTTGAGTATACACATGTAAAATACAAGTCACGAAAGCTACCAGAAGTGAACTGCAACACAAAGCTTTAAGAAGAAACAAAATGACATGCCATAAACTAGCCAGCATATAACTTTAAATCTCTCTGTGGTGATGTGGAAGCTGTGTTAGATATTGAACTGATACACGTGCTAAATGTGTCTCTATTATAAGTCCAACTAGTCTGTAAAATTTCTGACCAAGGTAACTTTAAATTTTAAATAAAGACATTTGCTCACCTAAATAAAATAATAAAAAACCCCACAGAAATGCAGTACTATGTGTTAGAATAAGCACCTGTTTTGGATGCATCTCAAACCACAAAGCCAAACTCTTTCCTCTTAAATCTGCTGCCATTACAAGCTAAGGCAAACCTTGTAATGTGGTGCAGTTCATAATACAGAAATGTTTTGAATACAGTTTCCTCCAAATAACTGGTGATACACTGATACCACAGGCACTGGCAGGCAGTTGTTGGGAGGTTGGGGGAGCAGGGGGATTAGTTTTCAGGTGCAGCACATAATGGACTACTGGAATTTTGTATTACAGAAGGCTATGGAGGCAAATAGCATGAGGAGCATGCGTACGGGTGAACACGAACAAGTCCATAAACCGACAGCAAAGACAACTGACAGGGATGTGACCTCAAACATCCTTAATACAGGTACTGTAGGAAGGTGAAGGCAATGGCCCACAGATAACAGTGAGGCTCTTCTACTTTGCATCTTCTGCTGTCATTGTCATGACCAGAGCATAGGGTGGAACACTGGTCTGACCATGTGGAATCTCTTACTTCTTCTATACAAGCGATAATGTGCCACGTAACAATTTATTAATAACATGTTATTATCACCCTTTATTCAGACCTCTCTGATTTGCAGAACATTTTTCGTTTCTTTTTCTCTCTCCTGCAAATCTTCTAAAGTAGCCTCAAGATCTTGCTTTTTCACTAGAAGTCCTTCAACTTTTCCCTGTTTAAGAATGCCAGTGAATCTCACGTCAGAAAATTCAACGCACAGTATATAAGGAACAAAAACCATGGTAAAATGCAAACCTGGTTTCCCTCTATCTGACTTTAGGTGATGAAATTTCTTGTTAGAATTGTAAATACAAGATCATAACAAAAATAATCCTGTATTAAAATTGTACTTCATATAGCTTAGACTTCGTAAGAGAAAATGGGCCTGTGTCACAGTGCAATAGGGTTTGCAGAGATCACAGCTAAATACGTCAGGAAGCTTCCCTGTAAGTAGGAACAGAACACCCTAACAGGAATACATGGAACAGGGTGTTATACCCCAAAAAAGACCTTTTGCAGGCTCTTAAATGTTTTCTTAGCATGGAGGATGCCTCACCATAACTAGCACCCCACAAACAACAAAGTAAGCACAACAGATTTGTGAAGTAATTCTCTCTAGTGCCAAAAATTAGTAGATCCCTCAGCCTTAAATGTCATGTGCATAGTGCTCGTGAGATTTAAGCTAATGGGGCTAAGAAAAACCCCAAACAGGTAAGGAATATTAATAGCAATATTAAAGCAGATTAGACAGTGTTTATATATGGTATTTAAGATCCTCCCAAAGCAAGAGAGACCTGAGATGAAAAGCAAATCCCATGAGACTAATAAAATGAACATTTACCAGTGTTTCCGACAGCTCTTCCAGTCGCATTTCTTTGTCACATGTTAGTTTAGTCATCTCTTCTACAGCACATGTAATGTAACATTAATTGAACAGAAATAGTTTTACATATTTAGCAGGGAGTAGAAAGCATTTCTCCCTCTGCAGTTCCCAGCTTTCAAAACTTGATGGATTAAGTTCAGAAATTGTAAAGCTAAATTATGACTTCATTGAAATGTAGAGTTGAAAAAAAATATTCAGAAAGACATTAGCAAATATATATTTGAAGAGAAACTAATCATTTGCCTTCAGTAAAATCCAGAGGCTATTGTGTTTTCCACAATCAAATAAACTGTAGTCTGGCAGAATGGAGTCATCTCAAAGTATTGATCTATCTGCATTTTTCCAGAAAAAAATATCTGTATTGAAGATAATCTCATGGATATGCTGAAAAGGGAAATCACTTATCAGTGATTAAAACTTAAAACGTTTTCTATATATACTTTCACATTACTGGTGTTGTTTGCAAGTACTGGACACCAAATTCATTTTTGCTCTGGAATTCTCACAGGTCACATCCCACCTTGTTCCAGACAAGCATTAGAAGCTGACTTTGGAATGCTTTTCCTTAGTTGGCCTCAGTACACACAAGGACATAAAATTCTATTTCCCATCTATCATATCAGGACTAGAGACACATGCTGCGCATTGGGAAAACAGTGCTAAAGAGGAAGCTCTTCCTCTGGGGGCTAAGCAGTGCAGATCTAGAAATCACAGGGTATCAAAGCAATGCTTAAAGTTAACTGCTGTCAGTGTGATTCTACATCCAACATGGGGAGAGTGCTCTGCAGGAAAGTTTAATCCAAATGGTGTGTCCCTACCACAAGCTACAGAAGGAATTCCTGGAATCTGCTGCTTAACCAGCTCTCAAATAGGTGTTTAACTGGAAGAGTGCAGAGAGACCAAAATGACTTCCAAGAGAATCCATGCACCTATGGTCTTACTACTACAGCTCTGCACAGCGCTGCTGTGGGACTGTTGCCAGCTACAACAACTACCAAAGGGAGTCAGATTAGTAAAAAGAGATTTTAGCATTCCTGACAGGTACAGGGTGCTGTAAAACCAAATATTTTTATTACTACCTAGCTCATTTTCCTTCTTTCTACAAACCTTACCCAGTTCAGCAGATTTATTTCTGAGCTCCAAGGTCAGTAGCTTTGACTCATCTTCATACTTCTTTGATCTAAGAAAATGGTAATTGGAAAAAAAAAAAAAAAAGTATAGTACAAAGGGCTGCATTTGCAACTTAAAGGACAATAAGACAACAGGACAAGGTGCAATGGCCATAAACTAAACCACAGGAAGTTTCACCTCAAAATGAGGAAGAACTTTCCACTGGGGATGGCAGAGCACTGGAACAGGCTGCCCAGGGAGGTTGTGGAGTCTCCCTCTCAGTAGCTCAGTAATATAGTGTTTTACCTATGAGATCCTTCTTTGAATTGAAACTGTTTAACTTACCTATTTTGCTCTTTTTGCAGCAAGCTTTTCAAATTGGAAATGGAAGTCTCAAACTCCTCTCTCAGGGATGCATGCAAAGCCTTAGTCTTTTTACATTCTTCTACCTGTGCTTCTTTTTCTCCAGTCATCTCAATTAATGCTTTCACTGCAGTCTGCAGTTCAGCTTCTAAGCTCTTCTGAGTAACCTTCAAAGAAATTATATCATTTCTAAAGGTGTTTTGCAACAAACAGCTACAGCTGTTTCAAATATAACGGATCACAAATTATTTATGCAATTAGTCATCTAATCTATTTATACTAGAAAGCTATAAGCAAGCTGTACCTCTATTTTTTGCAATGAAACTTTGGCCTCTTCCAGCTCTGCCCTCAAATGTTCTTGACTGATCCGAGATTCCTTCAGCATTTCTCCTTCATGTCCTAAGAAGAAAGACACATGCTTACATTTAAGAAAAAGAGGAGATTTACTAAAAAATGCTTGCATTCCTATTTTACAGACCAATATATTCCTATAACTGAACCCAGTTACATAATGTACTCGTCATAGTTTGTTAGCAGTTTCAGTTCCACACAAAAATATGGCCTGCAAGGACCCAAAATTCTGCTGCTGACTAGTAACAGGGTAAAATTATCATCGTTCTGTTCTCTATACCTTATAACCAACTACATGCTAACATAGCAGAGAGAACTCTTACTTTTTGCTTCTTCTAAGGCAGCAATCTTATTTTTTGATTCCTGCAGCTGAGTCTCCATATCTCTTATTATATCATCTTTTTCATCACTCTGTATGGTAAGAGCTGAAATCTGACAAAATTAAAATAATATCACCATGAGGTCTGGATAAAAGGACAGATTTTCATTTTGATTGTGCACTGTGTATCATTAGCAACATACTACTGCCAGTCAAGTTAAATAAGGTGTTCAGTCTTAGCCAAATATTGATCAAGTCATATTTCTCGGAATGAAAAAGCTCTACAGTTCAAAATCAAAACATTAATTTCAACAAACTAAGATGGAACATGACTACAGTTAGTGGAATCTGACTTAAATGCAGCTCCAGCTGGTATTTTTGTCCTTTCTACTGATGCTGAGAAACATTCCTTCCCCTTTGCAATGTCACATAATCATAGAATGGTTCACCCATCCTCAGAAAAAACAACTCTTGACCTTCCCAGACACAGACAGATGCTCAGCTTCTCAGAGTCCTGCTTACAAACTGAAAACTATTACCACGATTAACTTCCTCCAGTTGATCAGTCTCCTATTATAGCTACCTCATCACCAATACAAAACTCTACTCTAATCTCAGATTCCTAAACTCTCTTACCAGCCTGTGGTCTGATATGCACTATAATCCTTCACACCTTCCTTAACTATGAGGAGTGATGACTGCTTTGCTAATTTTATGCTTCTGCACAAGCCACTTGATAAAGACAAGTATACGTATCGAGAACAGAAAGAGTATCCAGTGCTTACATGATGTTTTTAAATCCTGTCACTAAACTATCCCTTGTTGTGATACAGCAGCTTCATTGCACCCTTCCAAAACACAAATGTTACAAACAATTAAGCACTTTTATAATAATTTTTTTCATTTGACCTATCAGTAAGTCACGAAAGCAAAAGAAAGTTCAAATATCAAAGAAACCATGAGATTTGTTTCAAAACTAAAGCTGTACATGTTAGATTGTAAAAGTGAACAAACCTGCTTTTCCTTCACACTGACTTCCAGTTGGCATTCTTTTTCAAGCTTGTCCACTTTTTCTGCTTCTTCTTTTACTTTTGAGAAATAGTGATATCCACAGTTAATACACGAGCTAAAATATACTCCAAGTTAAATACAATTTCCAGTTTAAGATTGCTTATCATTTGCTGTAAAATTTGTTTCCTAAAGAGTAACTGCTGAGGTCGTGCTTTAAATTGTTTTCTAATCAGACAAAAAAATTTTTGTGCCTGCTTTCCACAGAATTGGTCCATTATTTCATGAATTATTTAATAGTTTGTTACAGGAAACAAACAGAAATGCACACGTAGAAATGAAAGAGGCACACAGGATTGTAAAGAAAGCAAATATTTACTTAAAATTTCTGTGGCTGCACACTAGTGCATTTTCATTTAAATAAACCTGTACTTCACAGACAAAACTTAAGACTTTTGAGTGACTATTTGAAAAATAAAGTTCCAAATCTGACCCAGTGAAAAACCAATAAAAGGGTCCAGGAATTTAATTAGCAGGCAGCACGAATAAAAGTGGGTCCAGACTGCCAGTGTTAACTGTTCACCATCTCAGCACTTTGTATCTTTCTGGCCTGAAACCCTGAAACTGAATGCAATAAATTCTATGAAATACGGAAGTGTTAATCCCACAGCATCAAAACAATAAACACAATTCTCACATTTGAAACACATTTCCAGTCTGGTGTTCTCTGCTTGCACACGAAGCTCTTCAAATGCCACTATCATCCTCTAAAAATAAAATTCAGTATGCAAGTTCATATAAAACTAAGTACATTCAGTAATGAAGAATTATGTTCATGCTTTGTAAACAGTGTTGCAAGATCATTCACAGTTGTAGGAGAAATTTTGTTAAAAACAAAATTCAAAGCACAAACATATCTTAACAGGATGTTTTAACTTTTCAAAGTTGGAAGTTTAAGAATTTCTGTACTCAAGAACTAAACAATTTCAAGGAAGAAACATTTTTACTGATCCATGTTTGTAGATTCCTAACACAATGAAGTTCTGCTTTTCTTAGTTGTCACAGCAACCCATAATTAACCATTACAACATGTATTCTCTGACCCTGCTTAATAGCAAGTTCATCACTCCGGAACAATGATGCCCCACATTTTTCTATTATAAATACATGAGTGCTTTGTCTTCCATAATGGAATAATTTATGACAAAAATACAATTAATTTATTTATTTGTCAAAACTTCACTTCTTTTACAAATTAAAAAGGTAAAACTTCCCTTTCGGTCAAGGAATATTCATACCTTATACTTCTTGCTCCACACAAAATCACCAGTTTTCATAATAAATGTTCATGTTCTCTGTCACACTCAAAACTGAAATTAATTTTCTTTGTTCATCTTTATTTCATATTGCACTTTACATTAAATAAAATTACCTAACAGAATAACCCTACTATACCTGACAAATTCAGTTAGGTGAAACAGAGCACAGAAAGCAGACAGAAGTTATGGCAGTCACCTAATGCTAAGCAGATGATACGGATCTACATCCATCCCAAACACTGCTGCATTTTATCCCATTACTATGCTCTATAGCGATACAAAAATAACTCTTGAAAAGGGACTGAAAATCTGACCTCCTGCATCATATGTGACTGTTGTAATCACTTTATCAATATGGAACATTCTCTGTACAAATAGTATCTCAAGATATGCACGTAACTCAGACAGCTCCATATATCCATATAACTCACATCACATTTGAGCCTTTTTACAAGCTACATCACTTACTTCAACGTTGTTATTAAGTTCCTCGTATAGTTGTCTTGTTTCTTCTCTTTCATGTTCATCTATCAAAGTAAGAACACACAGTTATCCTTTTGAAAAACAATCTCAGCTGTCCAAGCCCTTACAGTTAAACAGCATAATAAATTAGAAAAGGAATTACAGGCTCTTATTTAAAAAGCAAGGTGCTAAAAGCTATATAATCTGTGCAAATTGTATGTTCCACTGAAACATCAGGCAAGCTCAGCTTTCAAATTTCCTTTGCAATCTCACTTTCCTGTGATAGTGTAATTCTGTATCAATTTATGTAACTATATTTAAATTTTGACAGAGTAATGTTGTTGAGTATTAATGGATCAAAAATTATAGTGTTTGAATAATTGTAATACAAGGTTTAGCACTGAATTTCTTCTCATCAGCAGATACCCAAGACCACAGAACTGTCATTACAGAACTGTAACAATACTTCATCTCCACTTCACAAGTCTGAACATATTCAGGGTATCTGGATGGGACTGAAGAACATCAGTGGGCTGACAACACTTCAGAAGTGGCTGCTAGTGGCTAATCACGGTTGCTTTACACTGCCTTAAACCAGTAGAAGTATTCAGAGACCTAAATAGCTTCCAGGCATGTAACCTTTTAGCAAACCATCATACCAACTTCAGAAATCCTCTAGATTTAACATTACAAAACCCATATGAGTATTAGTCCTATGGCTTCACTTCTAATCTTTCTCTGATGCAGAGCCACCTACAGTTTATCTCAACCAGGAAATGGATCTGCAATCAAATGATGGCTTTTTTCCTTTGTTAGACTAGAGAAAGCTGGAAGTACCTTTACTTTCACAAATCAAAATTTAAGCAGCATTTACATTTGGTGGACTTCTCTGTGAAGTGAGTACAGGTCTCCTTGAGCAGGTTACACAGATGCCTTGAGGCGCTGTTTCTAGAAGACGGAAAAAATACCGTGGTATGTTGTCACAGAAATGCATGGTACTTTGCATACCTAAGTAGTAACACTGGAAATGCCCCAATGACCTTTATGATGTAACAGCTGCTAGCACAGTTCTCAGCATGAAAACAAATTATTTGCATAAAAACGTAGCTGACTGTATTACTTACTCTTTTAAGAGATCTTTATTTTCAGATAGCTCATCTTCCAGTTTTAAACTTAGTTTTTCATTTTCAAACTAATTTCACAGGGAACAAATAAAAAAACCACATTGTTACTGGAAAATGCACTAGAAATACACTCTCACTTCTCAAATCTCACATGGAAAAGTAATTTTCTGCATCAGAAGACAGCAAAATCCATTTTATCAGGCGCTACATGCTGAGCCATCTTTTGTTACAGTTGGCATGAAAGACGTAACAATAAACAATAATTTACCAGTAACTGAAACCCTCACAGGTATGTTGTTCATCCACACATTCACACACTACAGGTGCACACCCTTTCTCAGAACAACCATTTTCTGAAAGCAAAAGCCAAACAACCAGAGATGACGCAGTTACCAAACCAATGCAAACAAACAACAACAACAAAAAAGAAAGACGAAGAAATTGTTTAAAATACGTATTTCAGTCACAAAGCTGACGACCACTACCAGCGAGATTAGAAACTGGAATAAAGCAGAGTGCGTTTCTATATATGCTGAAAACTGCATGAGCATACTTTACAGACACAAAGAAGATGAGAACTTACTCAGTCTTGAAGAGGTTTCAGCACACACAGAGCAAGATGTGCATGTAAATAATACAAAGATGGAATGCACATTGTTAAAATGAGGAAAACTATTTTTAGAAACCAAAATGTTAGTTTTTCCTTTAGTAACAGTAGAGCCATAGGTCACTGGTATCCAGCCAAATAACTTCTTTGAAGTCATCACATTCAAAGTTCAAAAACTCTTCAACCTCTGCAACATTGTTTAGTATTTAATCACATGAATAATATTTTCATACTAAATCAGGAAGAACTTTCTCTTTACATGTTCAGTGGATATGGTACAATACTGGCCTGCAATTCCTGAATGGCTTTACGCTGCGCTTCAATAATCTTTCTGTTTTCCTGCAGTTTTCTTTCTTTCTGCTTTAGTTCTGACTCTACAGTTAGTTTCCATCTCTTGATCTTCTCAGCCTCTTTGTAGAGTTTTGAATACAATTCATTCACTGTTTCTATGTTCTATTAAAACAGATTCCACAATTTAATCTCAAATTTTAATCAATAATGTTGTAGATGCATATTTACCTCTTAGAAATATCATAGGAGTAATTTTTTTTTCCCCACAGATGGCAACACAAGCTTATCAAGAACCAAGGTTTAAACCTTTGTGTATCCACTATGCATGTATTGGCACATCACAGAACAAGTAAGAATCACAAACAAAAGTGAAAAATACCCCACTGCCCTCAGATACAGTGGCATTGCTAAATAGATATTCTTAAAGACATGGATAAATGCACTCCATCAAAGTCAATAAAAGTTTTGCTATAATGATCAGTAGAGCCAAGATTCCTCCAATTCTGCACATCATTTCCCTCTTCTTATTCCAAGAGATATTGCTGAGTTAAGTCAAACAGCTTCAGGGATCTTGTCCAGGACCACCTGTGATATGTTTTTGCAGTTAACTCATACATAAAGCAGGAATAAAAAGCAACCAACTTTGTGCTCTTCGAACATCTTTAAAGCACTGTACAAGGAACATTCGTTCAGTGGCTTAGGCAGGTAACAGTACACAGGCCGCAGGGCAGATCTGCAGCTTGTCTGAGGTATGATTTCACCTAACACTACCCTTATTTTGGCTACACCATGGTATTATTAGACTCCTGACTGTACTTTAATAGCTACCAGGGCTAAAAGAAGTTTAGTCCTCAGGGATATGAAAATGTTTAGGAGGACTGCAAGAAAATTTGTTCCATTTTGCTGCAGCACACAGCATTTTGTATCTGGAAAGCACAGTAATTTACTGCAAAAAAAACAAACAGCTTTACTGAGTTGTACTAAAGTAGAAAAACATTGGTAGAGATGCTGTGAGAAGAATCAGATGCTTGAGGAAACCCCTCCACTAAGTTCATTGTTTTATAGATAAAACAAAGTCAGACAAGGCCACTGGGATAACCTGCTTCAATTTTCCAAAGAATACTCTGACTTCAATCCTTCTGCCTTTCAACAGGCTATTCAGAACCAGTTTCACAAAGATATTAAGTGACTAAATCTTATTCTGATTAAAATTTCCAGACTTGCCAGGCCCTTAAAAAAACAAACAAACAAACTTAATTAAAAAAAAAAAAAGATTCACCTTAATATTTAAAGGTTTCTCTCCACTGAATCACAAATATCTTCTCTATGTGATTCAGCTTTAAATAGGAGACAAAAAATTATTATTCGCCACTGACTACTTCCTTTAGCCCTGAAGTATCTACTGAATAGTGCTTTAGGCAGTGTTTTGAGAACAAATTAAGAGGCCCTAGGAAATGAGATATGCAGAGTTTACACTTATCTGACCTCTTCATCTACCTCAGCGCCAAGTTTTACTTCCTGTGAAACTGCATCTGAAACATGAAGAGATTTTGATCAATGTATTAAAAAAAAACCAAACAAAAAACAGTGGGACAGTATTTATCAGGGTTGTGGCTATGAAATTGTTAAACTACACATGAAAAATGCCAACAATATGAAAAAAAATGCAACAAATGTGCCTGGTAAATGGCTCATTTCAGGCTTACCTGAGTTGGTGATTTCACCACGGTTTGGTGTACTCGTTACAAACGGCAAATTAAAGTCATCATCTGGGCATTTGTTAAAACCCTGCACAAATTTAAAAATTAGTTTCCTACATGTAGATTTGTAAAGAAGGATTATAAAAAACACGAAAAAAAATTAACATGAGCTAACATGAAAATAGACTTTTCCACTAAGCAGTCACCTGCCCACAGGTTACAAAGTCCGAGGCAGTGGCAACAGCTTTGGAACTCTCTCGTTGTGGTTCTTACTTCACAGTGGCTTTTCAAACTGTTAGTCTTAAGTAGTTTGTTTTACAGACTAGACTGTGGCCAACGTGGAAGCTTCTGATGACAAGAATTTATTAGCTACTGCATGCCTGTACACAGTTCCATGGTAGAGGACTCATGAAGCAACATGATTCCCCCCGCCGCCCCCCAGTCCAGTACTTGATACTTTCTACTTTACTCCCAAAAGTACTTCTAGAACACACCTGCTTATGTTTTAGCATTAACGTTTTACAAAGCGTCACAGAAATTTGCCTTGTAAATAGCGTAACTCATCTCCTGTCAGAGTATGACACTGGAATCTACATATATTTCATTAGGCACCTCAACATGAGCAAGTATCTTGTTGAATTCACACAACTCAGAGCATAGAGACAGAACATTTCACTGCACACTTGACCTGGTGGGACCAATAAATCAAAGTCAGTAAGGGTATCCCACTTCCTATCTGAACTGCCCACACCAAACGTGTTTATCACTGATGGTGCACACTTAAAATACAGAACAGATGCTCAAGAACACGATTCTTTTCGGGTTTGATAGGAAAAATAGGTAAAAATCTTTGAAATTAATACTTAGGATGTTTTCCCCCCAGCACCAGTCTCAACAGTTGGCTGAAAAACGAGGCCAGCGCCCACACTTCACGCATCTACATGCATGTGCTTTCCAGGAGGGACGCTCAGGACTGGAGAGCCTGGGAGCTCCCCGGAGGACCCTCCAACCCTTCCACCGCTCCCACCCCGCTCCTTAGCCGTCGCCTCCAGAGCAACACACGATAACGCAGGCGGCAGCGCCATTTACCCGACACAGCCCCGTCGCCCGAGCGCTCGCCTGGGGTTTCACTGCAGACACCTGCCCGCTGCTCAGGCGCGGAGGCACGAACAGTTTGAACGGCTTTTCTTTTTCCATGGCCTCGGAGAGCAAGAGGCGGGCGGCGGCGGCGCCTCTGCCCCGGCGCACCGGGCCCGCCGACT